AAGACAACAAGTCTGTTCAGTGGAATATTTCAACATCACAAACCACTGTATTTCTGATTGTAATCCAAAGATGAACTTGTCTAAAAGTTACAGGGTAAGACAAAATAATAATTTATAGCCGAATTCACAACTTGTAATTCGTAAGTGCTTGCTGTTTTTAATTAAACTTATCTTTCCTTAAGTGAACCTCTAGAATGAGAAACACAACAAGTCTGTTCAGTGGAATATTTCAACATCACAAACCACTGTATTTCTGATTGTAATCCAAAGATGAACTTGTCTAAAAGTTACAGGGTAAGACAAAATAATAATTTATAGCCGAATTCACAACTTGTAATTCGTAAGTGCTTGCTGTTTTTAATTAAACTTATCTTTCCTTAAGTGAACCTCTAGAATGAGAAACATTATTTCAAAAACTAAAAAGAAATCAAAAGAAAAATCATATTTATGTTCCTTCCTGTTCTCCAATAAACTCTACTTTCCCAAAAAGAAAACAATTACCTACTATTTGGCCTATAGAATCAATATAACCCTTTTCCATAACATGCAAACACAAGATGTATTAAATAATAACAGAAAATGCTACACACCCTTGAGGTGACAGTTTATCCAACCACCCTGCTTTAACCTTCTTTATTGATGTTCCATAAAAGCAGGCATAGGGTGTTATTGAATCATTCGAAGTAACAGTTTGGTTATCACCAAATGGCAGAAAATGAATTGACTCTTTAACAGAGTGGTCCAGATTCCTCCTTTGGTTCTTAGAAGGGAATGAAGAATTTTTTTTGGTTTTATGGCTTTTTGTTCTTCTATACTGAGAACATTCTTCCACAGTAGAATATTCCGATTCACTTGCAAGCTGTTCCGGTAACATCAAGCTGTCCTCTTGTGATATCACTTCATTTTTCACATGTTCCTCAGATAATGCTTTCCCTTTCTGAATATTCAATACACTAGAAGAAAATAACAAAAATGTTAATCTTGGTTTATTTAATAAGTTCAGTGCATAAATAAATAAATATTGTAAACAGTCATTCTAAATTGCTACAAGGTTAAAGACCTTACACTTTTATTTTAATTGTGACCAAGAATGAATCCTGCCATGCCCATTCACTGTGTTTAGAAATAAGATGACAATCAGTTTATTAGAAAGTCTGGATTTTACAGAACTTCAAAAGGGAATTCATTGACCTTACAATATTAGACTCATTCATGTCTTTGGGGGTTGTAGTTTAGTATGTTTCCAAGTGAGACCAGGTCAACCCTTTAAATCATAAATAGGCAAACTTCTAGAGTGGAGTTAAAGTGCCAGGCAAGATATCTCTGCCTCACCCTAAAAGTAAGTACTGGTTGTGTTGGGGGAGGGGTAAAAACAAAGTAGCATGTAGGCAATAGACCCCCTAGAACAGTCATGTCAAATATGTGCAGGCTGCATGCGGCCCAATCGAAGTTTTTTGCAGCCCTCAACTACATTTTTTATAAAAAACTGAAGTGTGGCCTGCTGGCCGCCTGAGCACTCAGCCAAGTGCCTGCTCATAGCAAGGTAGTCGCTCTGCGTGCAGTGCCCCAATGCCTGCTCATGGCCCCAGCGCCTGGAGGAAGAAGTGTGATGGGGGGGGCTCCCGGACCCCTCCCCCACATCAGTGCCATAGAGAGGGGGAGGCCAGTTGTCCCCCGGGCATCACGCAAAGCGAGTGCTGGGCTGGGGTAGGAGCACATAGCCCCAAGTAGTGAACCCGGTGCTGGCAGGCCACTTGCTCCTTGCAGACAAGCTGCTGAGACAGGGCTGGGCAGCAGGATCAGGCACTTAAAAGTTAGAGTTACCATACATCCGGTGCCTGGCTCTGGGAGAGGGGAGGGGCATTGGGTTAGAACGAGGGGGAGGCTGGGGGTGCCTGGATCTGGGGGAGGAATTAGGTTAAGGGGGGGCTGGGAGTGCCTGGCTCTGGAAGAGAGGTGAGGCATTGGACCACAGCCCTTTAGCTCTTCCCCTTGTACAAGCATACAATTCAGTGTTTATTGCATGGTCTCGCATACTGTTTCTCAAATAACATGATAGCATACAGTTTTTTCTATTGAATGGAATCAAGAGTACTATAATATATACATGCACAAGGGGATGATTTGTGGGTCTCAGTTTAATTATTATATGTCCTGAGTTTTAAGTACCTAACTGTACTGTGTTAATATTTTTATATGATTTCCTTGGAATGTAGGTATTGCCAAATCAGCCTATGGGACCCTCTAGTCTAGTCCAGTATTCTAGCTACAAAAGTGGCCAATATGAGATGTGTCTCAGGATGGGGTGTGAGTGTATTCACATATGTCCACAAGAAACTACAGTGAACAGTTATCCTTGGATAAGAAATGTTTCTTCTTCACTCATCAGTTTGTGGCTGGCTTATGACCTAAACATGAATGGGTTTTAATCTGTTTTTTATCCTACTGAAGGGTATGCATGTGTTCATTTTAAACAAAATGTGGTTTGGAAAGTAGATATGCATAAAGAAGCATGCTGTGGCTCACTACCCTAGGAACAGTCTAGAAAAGGCCAAGGGGAGGGGGGTGAACTCAACATGTGGAGTGGAGAAGTACAAGCATGTGACAAACAAAGCCATATATGGAAAGGTTGAATATGATTGGTTTAGAAGTTTATGTTATATAACTTATGTAACCTGTTATGTAACTGCCATGTGCTATAAAACAGCAAGGGCAGGGGCTCCTTGCTCGAGGGGCTCTGGCTGATTTTGGTACCAGGAGCTCTCCCTTTGTGCACATTGAATAAAGTCTTGTTGAATTGAATTGAAGTATCGAAGACCCTTGATTCTGCCCAGCACATGACTCTCTGGGAACCACAAAATCCCAACACCTACCTATGATATTTCAGATGTTTTTATTATCAATAAGCCTTCATCCTTTTAAAAATCTTACAAATTTTTGACCTCACAGTTATTTAATGGCATTGAGTTCCACAGATGAATTGGGTAAAAAAAAAAAGTTTCCTTTTATCAATTTAAATTTGGTGTCATTTAAGAAAATGTAAAAAAGTATTCAATGAAGCCAGGTGAGGGCACACCACTGATCTTTGTAATTGCATTACAATACTTTCCGTGTTATTTCCTGTACCTTTCCTTATGGATTTCACCCTCCCTCTTCCCCTTTTAACAGCTATTGCACTTGGAGCAAATGTTCCCCTTTTTGCATGAAGCTGTTCAAAAGGACAGAAAATTGGGTCTGTCTTCTTTTACAGCAGCAGTGCTAATTACTCCCTAACATTTCACATTTTTCAAAGTGTTAATTATTCTGGTTTTTTTTAATATGATTTCAACCATTGTTCCTGGTATTCAACACCATACTCTTTTTTGTAATTCCAAGATCCATTCTTAGTGTCTTTAAGATAGATACAATATTCGCTACTCTCCAATCCTCTATCAAATAACTTATTTTGATGAGATTGCTTAACTTCATTAGTAGTTCACCTAGTTCGTTCTTAAAATTTCTTCCAAACCCATGAATCATTTCATCTGCACCTGTTGTTCTTAGATTTATCATTTTGTTCTAGCACCTCATTTTAAATACATTCACAGACGTTGAGAAACAGTTTATGTGAAAAGGAAGTTACTCAGCTTCTTTGCAATGTCTTTATTCTCCTTTAGTTTTCTGTTTACTCTCTCGTAGTCTAGCAGACTCAACAGTTTCCCTCATAGACTTCCTGCTTCTTAGAACCAAATATTTTTGTAATGTTTTGGCTGTTTGCTCATCAATTCCCACTTTGCATCCCTGATATCTATCTTACATTTTACCTATCCTTATTTCATTTTCTGCTCTATAGACTTAACTTGGAATGGGTTTCCAGTTTCTAAAGGATATCCATTTGGCTGAAATAACATCGGCTTTAAAGATAAAAAAGGAAAAGGAAATTATCCAGTTTTATATCTAAGTACCACCGCCAGTCAAGGGTAACTGGGGCATACCAATATTGCTAATAAATATGCACTTATACATCAGTCAGCCAAAGGGCAATTAACTTGTTAGTCTTGCATGGATTATCTGTTTAAGAATAAAAATATACCTTTGAAAGTGCAAAGTTTAAGAAATCCTAAGGATAGCATAAAGGCCAGCTTTGCAAGCCACTCAACTCATTTTGGTAATCCTTCTGGGCTAAAAAACACTTAGAGCAGGCCAGGGGAAGAGGAGGGTGGAGGATGGATGCAGAATAAGGCAGCCAACACAGATGTCATTTAAATTCCAGGGCAAAAAAAGAATCAGCATGTACCTGGTTTACACTATGTTTCTTTAAAGAAAATTCAATGGCTATTATTTGCCAGGCTGAACCAATTATTCTGAAATATAAGTCTCTCCCTTATTGTTTTGGTTTATACTTGTTTGTATTTCAACAAAACAAGTTATGTATCATATAAAAAATAATTTAAAAGTACCTTAAAGTTATACTTATATTAAAAATTATAAAAATTATATATGAGCAAAATACTTTTACACATCAAATTATTGTATTATATTCAAACAAGACCTGAAAAAATATTATACAATATACCTAAAACATAATCTATACTAATAAATAATTACGACTTTCCAATAGAAATACATTTTCTTTGGTGGCCTTGAAAGCTATCGGTTTTCCTTTGTGTGGCCCTCAGTAGGCTTCGAGTTTGACATGCCTGCCCTAGAAGATATCCAAGATAAAACTAACAATTTCCCTGATCTAATGGGAGGGACCATTAATGGAACAAGGCAATTTGAACTACATCAACCAAATCCGAACAAAGTTCAGGGACCTGAGAGCAGATATTCCCACAAACTCAAGCTGATTTGGGGGAGGAGTCAGGGCCATATATTATGCCATCTTGACTGTGAACTCAGGGGTGCATGTAAACCATTTTTACTGATTTCCAATATAGCCGTTGATGACAGGTGTGAGAACAGGTTTAAAACATGTCCCAATTCATATGTAATACCATGATTTATCATGAAGACAATGCTTTTCAATCACTTCTTTATCCTCCAGTTTTTCTTCAAAAACCAAGAATTCATTTCCACAGATTTCCTGGAAGGAAGAAAAAAGTTAGACACATGCATTTGGTTTGGATTGTTACATGACCAACCATCTTTTTGCAAGTATAAAATCAAGATCAAATTATTTCAAACAAGTATTTCACAAATTTCCACTTTTATTGGGCAGCATGCATAGACAATACATTTAATCCACATGCATAAGAGAAAAAACACAATCCCAAAAATAGACAAAAAATTGATTATATTGAGATATAACCAATCAGACCGTTTCTACAATAATGTTTTCTGTAGTCAGTGTTACGTTACGTTTACTGTTATGCATTGTACCATAACTACATGTATGATTTAATATCTGTAGCCTGTTTTTCATGGCAGAAGTTGTTCTCCAATGCAAAACTGCACTGATGTACTGTCAAGGATACTGAATTAAAATAAGGAAAAGGAAGCAATAATACTGAACCCAACACTGCTACATAATATCTAGAATTTTCTGTTTCTTTTCTTGTAAACTGTTTGTTGTGAAACATATACCAAATCAAGTTCAAGGTGTACAATATGTGATCATAATACTGCTCTAGGAACATATACATTTCCAAAAGTTGATCTGACATCTTTAATAAATGTATTAACATTCAGTTTTCTTTGGTTTCTTACACTCTTTGGAACACAAACAAACAAGCCTCACAGTATGCTCCTGTTTTATAATGTAAGCATTCAAATGAACCCATTGAAGGTTTGAAGTGCATTCGTATCCCGCTAAATGGGAGTGGAAAGGAAAAGTGTTTCCACCATTGTTGCTGCTATATTTGGGTTTTGGGTTTTCCCCACCCAGAAGTTGTACAAAAACCTTACATTTAAAAGGCTATATCTTGGCAACAGAAAGAGGCAGAGCAACCAACTACAAGCTAGCTTCTAGAAGAAAGGATTGTTTGACTTTTACTACAGTTTCATCAATACATAAAACCATTTCTTGCTCAGGCATCTCTTCTTATGTTTCCGCTCCCGTATGCTGCCTTCCTTCCTGGTTTAACTCAGATAGGTTTTCTTAATATCCCCAGTCATTTTTCAGGGCACATAACCACCTGAATTCCAAACTCCCTCATGTAGAATCACCTAAGTAGCTGGTTGCTAAATGTTGAACTACTGAGCCTGGAAAGATGTCAAGGGAGCAGCTCTAAAGAAAAGGCTGAAATTTATATGGGGAATGTTTGGGGAAATCATTTATCAGTCACTAGGGCAGTGGTCACTAACCAGTAGATTGGGATCTACTGGTAGAATTTTGAGCCCCTGAAAGGTGATCCTGACTGGTTTGGCCAAAGGGCTATCAAGGGCCAGCACGTCAGCTGCTCTTTCCCCCATTGCTGCACATCTCCTGCCTTTTGCCTTGGAGCTGTCCCCTCAGGAGCCTCCTGCTTGCTGTGCAGCGCTGGGGAGGGAGATGAAGGTGCTTGTGGCAAGGTGTCCCCTCTCCTGCCTGTATCCTATTTCCACAGAGCAGAGAGGGAACACAACAGGACTGGGAGGGAGTTTGCTGGCTGCTTTTGGGAGTGGTGCAGGGCCAGGACAAGGCTGAGCCTGCCTTAGCCCCACTGCACCACCACCCAGGAGCCACCTGAGATAAACAATGCCCAGCTGGAGTCCACATCCCAAAACTCTTCCTCAGCCATGAACCCCCTTCAGCACTCCAAGCCCCTGCTCTAGCGCCGAGCAACCCTGTATCGAAATGCCCTACCAGAGCCTGCACCTAGAATTCCCCTGCACCCCAACTCCCTGCCCCAAGCTCAACTCAGAGTCCCTCTCACACTCCAGATCCTGTAATCCAAGACCAGAGCCTGCACCCCAACCCTCTGCCCCAGTCTGGTGAAAGTGAGGGACCATGGGGGAAAGAAGGAGGACAGAGTGAGCAGGGGTGGGGCCTCAGAGAAGGGGTAAAAGGAAGCGGGGCAAGGATGTTTGAGTTTGAGGTAGATCTTGGATTGCATTTAAATTCAGAAAGTGATCTCATGCTTAAAAAGGTTGGAGACCACCCAACTAGGGGATGACGGCTGAAAGGTGAGTCCACAGGAGGGAGCTGGGAATTCAGGTGTTTTGCATAACTCAACCATTCTAACCAGGGTAAGTATCAGTGTTCCTTCTGAGGAGCAGGGCTTCACGGGTGATTAATCAGCTCTTCCCAGTCAGTCAGATCCAAGGAGCCCTGAGCCTATGACTGGGTGGGGCTGATTAATCACCTGTGAAGCTGTGCTGCAGAGCAGCTTAGAGGGAACACTGGTAAGTAGCATAACCAATAAGTTTCAACATTATCCAATACTGCAAAGGCAAAACTTAGCAGATGAAAAAGTGTTCTAACCTAACTACAAGTATAGAAGATGCAAATTGCTCACTGTTAAAAGATTTTCATCCTCAAGCACAAAATTAAATCATCAGTATTAGCGAAACATTCTGCATATAAAGGTAAAAAAAAAATCAAGAAGCTTAAAAGTAAATTTACATGCTGAAAATTATCCTTGTCCTTCCTAGATGCGTGAAATAGCACATGCCCTTATCTTTAGTTCATGTAAATACAGGTATTTATAGATCTATATACTTGAAGATGTCTTAACTATCGGGTATTTTCCGCAAACTTTGAATCATGTGACTTTTTTCTGAACCCTATCTTATTTTTTTCAACAGCCTTTTTAAAATGATGATACAAGGCCTGTCCACATAATTCCAATGTCAGTCTCACCAGGGCCATACGCAGAGATAATGTTATCATCTTATTTTGAAATAGTACATCTACTCTACAGGGAAGCCTCAAAATTAGTCCGAGGCAGGCTCCCCTAATGTGGACGTGCTACCTTGATTTAGAGGCCCAGGAGGTACTGGGGAGTAATTAGTTTGATTGGCCCTGGGGAGGAGCTATTTCAAAAATAGCAGCAGTGGAGCATACATACTAAAGCTATTTCAAAATAGCAATTTCAGAATTATGTGTTATTCCTTGTGGAATGAGGTTTACAGAAGTCGGAATAAGCCATCCGTTATTTCAAATTTATTTCAAAATAACAGAATTGCTGTGCAGATGTTCACATTGTTATTTCAGAATAGTCAGTTATTTTTAAATAGGGTGCACCTTCACAGCACAGTTAAGTGTGAGCTGCATTCTTTGTTCTTACATATATAACTTTGCATTCTAGTAGAATTTTGGTTCTACTAAAACAAATTCTGTTTGAACTGGCCCATTTTACCAAGATATCTGCATTTCACCATTATTTACCACTCCACTAATCTTTGCCTCACCTGCAAATTTTATCAGCAGTGATTTTATATTTCTAGATCATCATAAACAACGTTAAACCGTATTGTGCCACGTCTAAATCCTATAAAACCCCATCTGAACCTCCATTCAATGAGGATTCCCCATTGACAACAATATGGGACTCCCCTACGAGAAGACACAGAAGAATAAGAGGAGGCTTGATAAAAGCATATGGAAAAATCAATTCAGAGAATGGAATTCAGATACTATTTACCCTTTTGTATATTACAAGAACAGATAGTGAAAAAAAAATCACAAAAACAACACAATGTATTATTGAATACGAGAGGATCCATAGTAGTATGTACTAGGGATGTTAGATATCAGGTAATTGAAAAGTTGTATAACCATATGAAATCTTAGCGGTTGGACGACTATTTGATAGTTCCCAGGTGCAGGGCCAGCAGCTAACGTGCTCCGACCCCATCCCCAGGGAATGCCCTGCTACTCTGTGCTGCTGCGTCTGTATCAAAGGCAGTAGCACAAGGTGCCAGGGGGAGCTGGTCCACGAGGAGAGAGAGTTTAAAAACCAGCTCCCTGCACAGACCAGCTGCCTGCTACCCCGCGCTACTGCCTCTAATACAAAGGCAGAAGCATGAGGTGGCAGCAGCCTCTGTCCATTGGGGGGATCTGAGCTCCCCTCAGACTCAGGCTGCTCTGTGGGATGCAAGTAGTCTCTGTCTGCAGAGAGCTCGGACCCCCACAGGCAAGGGCTGCTGCCGCAAAGCAGCCTCTGCCTGTGGCAAGCCCAAACTCACCGCAGATAGAGGCTGCTCCATGGGATAATGAGCATTTTGTGTCCATGGGGAACTTGGACCCCGCCCGCCCCCCAGGGACAAGGAATGCTTTGCAGCAGCTTCCCCTGCCCCACCCCCACTGCTGCCTCTGAGAAGACACAGAAGAATCAGTCCTGGGGACAACTGGCTTGTAAGCCAGCTCCCCCAGCACTGGCTCCTGCTCCCCCAACCCTTGCTGCCTGAAATACAAAGGCAGCAAGGTCGGGGGAGAAATGCGTGTAGTTGACAAGATTAACAAATAATCCTAGGCTTATCGGTTAATCATATCATTGACTACGTGTTGACATCAGTAGTACATACTGATATTTGATCATGAAAACCTATCACTACATTAGATATTACTAAAAATATGTAGAAGTGATATACAGTATCATATCTGAATGTATACACCAACCGATTGGAATGGGTTAGAAATTTCTAGTAGGGCAAGTTATTCTGCAAATGTCTGTTACCAGATATCATGCACCTTCCTCTAAAGCATCTGGTAGTGGTAACAGAGACAGAACACTAGACTAGATCAACCACAAGTCTAATCTGGTATGGCTTTCCTTATATTCTTCATATAATGGCCTACTACTCCTGAAAGACAAAATGCATCTTAGGCTTTACTATATTAAAGTTACTAGTCTATGAAATGTTCATAATAAGTGTTTCATGAAATAGTGTTTGCACAAACATGCACTGGGATGGGAGGGAAGAGATGAAGGAAATAGACAAGGGGTGAGCAATAATTTTAGACAGGGGGCCACTTCAGAAATTGTTGAAGTGACCCCAGGCTGCCCAGAAGTGGCAGGGCCTCAGGTAGAAGGGGTGGGGCAGTACATGAAGTCTTTGCCCCCCAGTCATCCCAGAGAGAACTGCCAGGTGTTCAGAACAGCTGGCAGTTCCCTCTAGGTACCCGCGCGCCTGGTGGTGGAAGGAGACTTTGCACGCCCCTCGCCCCAGGTCAATCAGGGCAAGGGGCATGCAGAGCTTAGAGTTATCCTGACCAACTGGGGAGGATGCTTCACGTGCTCCCCCATACCACGGCCCTGATTGGCCTGGGGGCATCTGCAGGTCGGATCAACCCACTTGGTGGGCCACATCAGGGCTGCAGAAGCCCTTTTGCCTACCCCTGGAATGGGCAAATAATGTACTGCACTACAGCATTTACAAGACCTTTCAATTTACCTTGGCATCTGCAGGGTTGTTGAAAAGAAAAGTTTCCTCATATGGAGAGATGGATGGCTTTTCCTCATTGGAGAGTTCTTTAAAGAAAAAAAGAGATGCATCAATGAGAAAACAGTACTGTATTTTATATCTGTATGGTACACACGCTGTATATTCAATATCATTTTTGTTTACACTGCAGCAAAAGTAAATTTTGCTTCTTACATGAATATATTTGTCCTATATTTGTCACTGATCTGTTTTCAAAGCTAATTTAGTTGTTTTGATGAAAGTCTGTCTGTGGACCCATGCCTATTTCATAATAAAAATGACTAAAAGTAAACTTAGCTAAGACCAGCATGTTACTAACTTTAGTCCAGTCACCTTTTGTCATTTTATTTTGAAGTGGGGTCGGGGAGGGGAGAGAGAGAGAGTTTCCATAGCTGTTCAGTGTGAATCAGTCTAAGTCGGTTTTTAAACACACCTTTTGTTATTTCAGTGCAGGCCTGCTTTATGTTGCATTCTGAACTAATTGATCTAAAACTTAGGTTGGAGGCAATGTTCAGTTTGTTGAACTATACTCTGCAATCTCTTCCTACCCTCACAGTCAAGCCCCACTACTAAATAGGTTTTTTTTTTTTTTTTTTTTTACAGAAAGTAAACTTAAAGATTTTAAGCATCATAAAGCTGAAAAGGCACAGAACTCTAGGAATATTACTAATTCCTAGTAAAGCTGCATTTAAAACAAATTATACAACTTTTTTTGTGTTCTACTCACAAATTATATTTTATTTACAGAAAAAGGGAATGAAGATGCTTCATTTCAAAAGACTAATACCAGTTAACTGTTAAAAAGAATGAGAACTTTCCCAACACTCTGTTGAATTCCAGCATTTTAATTTTCTTTCCTCCATGTTATTTCTGTCTTTTTCATCTTCCTCTGACTTATTCTACTGACTCACTATCAATGACATTTGAAGATATCACTTTTAAAGTATCTGTCAAACTGCCTTTGGACTCTCTGGCTTTCAGTCACTAGCCCTTTCTTCTGCTTCCTCATTTTCTGGCAAAGGCACATTTCAGAACAATGTAAAGGTGTGATCTGTACGCTTGAAATGAAGAAGTCTGAACTTGCACAGGAATTGTTTTCGGTGAGTAAAATAAACTTGTTTAAAAGTGACTGGGCAACATTGTTAACCTGCTCCTGTATAACTATGTAATATTAGAAATTCTTCTTGTTCTTATTTCCTCAAGAGCCTATAGCACTTAATGACTAATTAAATAGTATTGGGTTATTCTGGTCAGACATGAACCCTCTTTATCTAAGGGTAAAGCTACATTGGCACGTTATATCACTAAGTTTCTGGCTCAGCAAGTGACATTCTCCCACCCTGCTACCTCCAAGTGCAGCAAGTTACAGGGCTGTAAAGTCAGTGTGAACCAAGCTACAGCTGTTGGCTACTGCCCTTGAGGAGGTGGCTTACATAGAACATTGGGAAATCTCTCCCCTGTGCTTGTGCAATGATTACACTTTCAGTTCCAAGTACTGCCATGGTTGGCCACACTTAAAAGTTTCAAGCACGAAGTAGGGATGTAAAATCTCATTTAATTAGTTAACCAGTTAAACGTTATATTTAACTGGTTAACCACTTAAACAGGGGAGGGCATGGGGACCACAACAGCTGGGCTGGAGTAGTTCCTCTGTCACAGCTGGGGGCTGTACTGCTGGAACAGTCCCCTGTATGGTGCTAAGTCCTGGAGCAGCCCCCTGCCCACAACAGGCGGGGGGCTGCTCCAGACCCCACTGATTAACCATAACTGGTATGCGTCACATGATAAGGGTGATGCTTACCGGTTAACCATTCACATCCCTAAGACAAAGCCCAAGTTAATTTCTGTTTACAAATATCCTCCTCCCTGTTTAGTACCAAATACATAGAAATACAAGGATCAGGCAAGTAAAAGTAATTGGAGGAAGGGTGGGGGGGAGGGGAGGTGGCAGGAAGCAAACCTCCTAACTTCCCTTTATTAAAAAACTGAAAATAGTTTATAAATGACATAAAACATATGGTAAAATAGAGAAATGGTATTTGCTTGGCATTATATTTATATCTTTCCTTACCAGCATCCCAAATTTTCCTATAACAATTCTACATTAATTTCTGGTAAGTTATTTAAATGGTATCTGTTCTCTCAATTTAAAATATAAATATCACAGCATTCAACTCACTTTTCTGTGTAGTTGGGCTCCCAGAACAAGAAATATTTAAAACATCCACATTTCTTCTTTCCTGCAGAGAACTTTAAACAAACAAAAAGGGTGAGGGCTGTTTGTCTGAAAGTGTACTTAACTTTCATGTAGCAATATAATATGCCAATTAAAACAACTATTTAAAACATGCCAGCCCACTTGTATGTTCTTGAATCTAGTATTAAGTCTTGGGAGGGGAAAATAACTAATACAACATAAAATAACAAACCAACTCCCTCTTTGTATCAGAAGGGTAGCCATGTTAGTCTGGATCTGCAAAAGCGACAAGGAGTCCTGTGGCACCTTACAGACTAACAGATGTATTGAAACATAAGCTTTCGTGGACAAAGACCTACTTCATCAGATAGTGGGTGGAAATTTCCAGAGGCAGGTATAAATATGCAGGACAGAATAAGGCTAGAGATAACAAGGTTAATTCAGTCAGGGAGGGTGAGGCCCACTTCTTTGTATATATCATACTGAATACTCTATGGAGCCTTGATAATAAGCCTTACTATTTTTCAGTTTCACCTTCTTATATTGTCCAGCTAGATATTTGCACTTTTTACAAATATTAACTATTGAAGCAATAGTGTATCAGGGATCTCACTCTTTTCCACTATAGTCTGTGGAAACTTTGCCATGAACCTCCATGAGCCCAGGATCAAGCTCAAGAAGAGAGCAGCATCTCCAGCTAGGTACTTTTCAAAGAAAGACTCACAACATAGCCTTCAAAAAAATCAAGTAGACATTACATGATACAAAGGAGGAGGATCCCATGTTCTGACTTCTGAACTGCTAAAAGGATTTTGCTCAAAAGTTCTGAGCTCAGAAAGTAATTTTCTTTCCCAGGAAGTTTTGCATTTGAGTTATAAATTAAACTGCTTTGCAGCCAAAAGATAGCAATAGCCAGGGCTCAACAATCTATGTAATCTACTTGCCTGTGGCAAGTAGATTAAATTCCAGAAGAGCCAGGTTCAGGCGATCTGTGCATGCGCAAAACGCCGGACAGCGAGGCTTGGCGAGCCCTAGCAATAGCTATCAGTAATCATTGTAATAAAATGCTTGTACTTGCCTTATCAGGTTTCCGGGATGGCAAACAAAATTATAGTTTCATATGAATTCTACATTACTTTATAAATAGTAATACTTACTACTACACTGACCTACAAATATTAGGATGCAGATCTTTCGATGTGGGTATATAGTTATCTATGTACTGCTGAAGTCATGCTCTTTCAGTAGTCTCTGTATAAATGCCATTAATTCTCATTATGATTTTGAGAACAGTATAAACTTAGCACGCTCCTGTGACACATTTGTTTGCAGCCCACAGGGTGGTTTGGGTTTACGCGGAGCTCAGCACGTGGCCCGCGGGTGGGATCCTTTAAACATGGCCTCCATAGGGAACACACTCCATAGTGGCAAGGGATCTCCCAGTCCTTGGGTGAGCACTGAAAGATGCAAGAGGACAGGCTGGCTGGAACATACGGGTACAGGGTGTCAGTGCTTCTAGACCCCAGGGAGGTGGTGCCGGGAGTGCCGGGGTATTGTAGGAAAGTTATTTGCATTTATATTTGCATGTATATGCAACCATACTTAAGTTGCAGCCCTTGGCACGTACTGTGAGTATCATTGTGGCCCCCAGGGCTTCCAAAGTTGAGTAGCCCTGCTATAAAGCCTCCATTAGAACAGTATGGTTGGTTTTTCATAGTGGTGAAGACGGGACACACTTCCTTAGCATTGCTGTCAATCAATCTCTACAACTAAATTGCTCTATGACCTTGTAAAAATCACAGTGCTCTATCCTTTTATTTCCTCTTTTGTAAAAATAATAATATGGATCATTACTTAGCCTTTTTAAACGGCTCTCAGGGCACTATACAAAATGTAAGTGTTACAATAACAATTTTCAGACCAGCATCTTTCATCCCAAAGCCATAAAGATCAATATTTTACCAAGTATTACACCTTTCCACCACATTCATCAGCCTCCTATTATTCATGCTGTCTACATTCGTAACTTCCACAATGTTATTTCATAAAGAAGTCAAAGCTGAATTATTTTCCTTACAAGCCAACTACTAACTATAACACACATTATGTGTGACACACTCCAGTTTTTATTGTGTTGAACAGGTCTCAACTTGCTTAAAGCAATACCATTGAATTCCATTCCATTCTACCGCCTGACCCAGGAATAGCACTTGACACCTCATTGAAGGACCATCGACAAGAAACCATAACGATGACAGTCTGAAACTACTGAATTTTAATGTCACATCTACTGGTCCATCTGCAGGGACCAATAGTTTTCTATTAAGCTGGTGCCAGCTTGACAGGAATATCAGCAGACTGAAACATACGGACAAATACAAGTATTCTACTTAGGAAGGAACAATTAGTTTTATACATACATATTGGGAAGTGACTGTCTAGGAAAGGGTACTGTACTTGACCACAAGCTAAATATGGGTCAACAGTTGCAAAAAAAGCACTGTTGAAAAAAAAGCAAACATGATTTCAGATGCATTAACAGGAGTGTTGAGAGCAAGCCACAAGGAGCAATTCTTCCACTCTACTCAGCACTGATTAAGCCTCAGTTGCAGTATTGTGTCCAGTTCTGGGCACCACATTTCAGGAAAGATGTGGAGAAATTAGAAGAGCAACAAAAATGATTGAAGGTCTAGAAAACATGACCTATGAGGGAAGACTGAAATAATTGGGTTTGTTTAGTTTGGAAAAGAGAAGACTTGGGGTACATCTAGACTGCGAGGTTCTACCGGAAAAAGATACGCAAAATGAGCTCCATATTTTGCATATCTTTTTTCCGATACTTTTATCAGAAGAGGCTTTTCCAAAATTTGGCCCATCTAGACTGGGCCAAATTTCTGAAAAAAAACCCTCTTTCAAAAGCCCCCTTCTTCTATGTGGAACGAGAAATACAGGGGCTTCCAAAAGAGCACATTTGCTCTTCTACAAAAAAAAGCAGAAGAGCAAACGCGTTCACTGGACGCAGCCGAGTTTTTTTCAGGATATCTAGCAGTACCTTTGGAGGTGTCATGATAGCAGTTTTCAAGTACCTAAAAGGGTGTTACAAGGAAGAGGGAGCAAAGGTTTAGAAATGGTACAGAGACTACACAGCCTGGAATGCTGACAAAGCTTGGATTCAAAGATTTATTAATAAGATTAGACATGGGAAAGGGGCATCTCAGGACTTTCGTTATTATTTAAAAGTGCTGTACCTTCCAATAAAGTTACTGTGGTTAAGACATTTCTCACTAAGCCTGAATTCCTTGCTTTCCTATCACACTATCCCTGAAAAGATTGAGTTAGAAACTCAGAGCATCTACAAAACCAGCAGAGCTTAAAGTCCGAGGCATTGGTTTAATTTCAAAAGCAGCAGTTTTGCATTGCAAGGAAGACACAAATAAGGGGGCCTGACAAGCCCAGAGCTATGAACATTGACTAGACTGCCTAGCAGCTAGCCTAGAAGCACATGAAACCCTGTGATTGCAAGAGATTGCAGCTGCTATACAGTAATATAATATTTCAGGAGATAACGCTATCATCCATCTTTCAGACACTAATTGTCAAAATAATAGTTTATCCCAAATTCTTATATCCCTTCAAGCTTTCAAAATAAGACCTTTGAAATTTTCATGTTGAAAAGGCAGCTCCATCATGCAGAAATGTCCAAACATTCTCCTGTAGACACAAGATCCAACGAGACTTGGAAATTGGAAATGGCTACTAATTTTTTCATTATATGCTGCTTTAAAAAACAACAACACTGTTCTTTACAGACTTCCTTTTTCGGGCAGATAACTTTATCTTAAAATTAGGTCATTCTATCAAAAGCTTTATCAAGTACAGCAAGTCGTTTTCAATATATTGATCTCAGGTTTTTAGTCCACAGGTGATTTATGATGAATGGCTGAGAGGAGCTAACTGTTGTAGACTAGAACATAAGTTACAAAGTGTATAGAGCCAAACAATGTCACAGTTCTTGTAATTTATCCCTACAGTCAATAGTTTTGAAAAAGACATGGAGATCAAAATACTACAAATTCTAGACTCTGAATTTAAATTCAAACAACTAAACAGAGGCAAGGGGAGGAAAACGGTAAGGAAAGATAAGGACACAGGCTAATCTTACGTTTACATTGCACACTCCTTACAGTAATGTTTAGAGCACACGTACAGCTACCTGCCCTCTACCCATCCAACAGATATAATTAGCAATGCAGTTGATGAGGTGCAACTTAGACAAGTAAAGTAAAGTCTGAAACCTGTGCATAGACCAGGTCTGGGCAAAATATATCCCATAGGCCGGATCCGGCCAGCCAAATCACTAGATCCAGCCCGTGGATGCTGCAGGAAGCCCGAGTCAGGATCCTGCTTGCCTCTCCCCACCTACACGCTGCTCAAAACACAGCTGAGAGGCAGGTTTTCTTTAAAAACTGTGAGGCTGGAGGGGAGGGAGAAAGATTTAGGAGCTGCTCCCACCGCCAGCACAATCCCATTGGCCACTTTCTATGAAGCACATGGGCTACAGCACATGGTCTACATGGCTGCAGCTTGTGCAGAGGTAGGGCAGGCAGGGGGGCTGATTCAGGAACCACCGCTGGCTGGTAAGTCTCCTGGCAGAGCCTACCTCTGGCACCCCAATCCTGCCCTTCCCCAACCATATGCCCCCCCTCCACATACCAAAATCCTCTGCCCCCTCCTGTACCCATATCCCCTCCCACATCCAGCACCTCAATCCCCTGCCCCAGATCACAGTCCCCTCTTGCCCTCTCACACAAATCCCTGCATCCTCTCCTGTACCTCAGTTCCCTGCCCTATGTCACTATCCAACCCCTTGCACTCCAAACCAGTGCCCCAGGTCACAACTGCTTCCTTCACTCAGACTCCCTTTCTTACACCAAGCTCCCTTTTGCACCCAACCTTCAACCCAGACCCCGCACCTTCTCCATTAATATCATAGAAGAGTGCGGCCCCTGACCACTTTCCAAATTCATGGAGTGGCTCCACATCAAAAATTATT